ATGAGGACAGTAGGTAGAGGAGTCGAAGACAAGGGTGAAAATGTAAATGTGTAAAACCATTACATGAATTAATGATATTACGAAGAGATCAATTAAATCTTTGGGCGTGGATTATTGAAGGCGGAGTTATAATTGTTTTACGATATATTTCTTGCTCCTGTTACCCAGGGGGTCAGTAATGAAGATGGGTTAGGAAATTGCACAAGTATGAACGAAGAAATGGAGTAATCATGATAATGATATCATGCGCCAGCCTCTTATCGTACTATAATACCTACTTTACATACCTAGCTGCTTGCACGCTTTCATGTTATCTCATGAACTTGGATAAATTATATAATAAGATTTTTTTCCTCCTCAAAATGGTCACAGAAGTTTTCGAAGTTGTAGTTTATAGGTATGATCTGATTTCATTCAAGCCATTCCAAATTTGGAATGGAATGGCTGACACATGAGAAGATCAGAACTATTCACCCTTTGTCTCAAACATCTTCAAATCCATAGCTTAAGTTCTTCATTTGATAGTCCCTCCATCGAGAAATAAATCATCTCTATCACAAGGTGCCTGCACCCACCTTCACAAAACCCAAACCTCCCCCCCCCCCCCAAAAAAAGCAGAGTACCACCCATAACCCATCCCCACCCCCCCAAACCATCTAAACAAGCTCAACCCAACCCCCTCTCTAACTAACATACACCTGCCCCGCCAAACTCAACGCCGTCCCCGCAGCATCCAGCAAAAATCCCGGAAAAACGCCAAAATACGAGTATCTCTCTACATAATCCTGGGCATCCAACCACGGCAACACCTTTTTCAAAAACGCGGCTTGCTGCGCGTCCGAACCGTAGCATTGGAATTCCGTGATCCAGATGGGCAGCTTGAGGGTTTCGTGGGCGTTGGTGACGTTGGCGATGAACCAGTCGGAGCCCGATTGTCCGGAGCTCGGCTCGCAGTCTTGGTAGTAGTGGATGGCGGCGAAGTCGATGTGGCAGGAAGTGCAGTTTCCGAGGAAATATTGCGTCCAGGTGCGGGAGCTGTAGGAGCCGCCGGAGGACCACTGGGGGAGGGAGGGGTTAGTTAGATGGATATTATGAGGGGGGTGAGAGGATAGAGTGTTGAGAGAGTTTAAATGGATTTGGATGAGAGTCTTACACTATTCCAGTTATTCCACAAAACACCTGGACCACCAATGCGCACCTGTCCTTTGAATTGTTCAATGTAGGATTTGTATCCGGCGGCTGCGGCTTCAGGAAGCATATTGGAAGATTGTTCCCACGTAAGATCGGGCTCGTTGAAACCGAGTATGCTTTTTGCGGTTTGGACGGCGGAAACCCAGTTTTGATCCATGATCTTGGGGAGGCCCCAAAGCATTGGGACGCTGGGGATTGGGTTAGTTATATTTCAAGTATTTAACTCAGAAGAAAGAAGTAAGTGAACAGACAGGAAGGGGAAAAGAGCGAGAGACAAAAGACTTACAATTCAATACTTGAATCCAAACCATTACTCTTGAATCCCCAATCATAGCCCCAAGTAATCTTACTATATCCCTTGAGCATATTTCCATATGTCGAATCGCCATGGACATTGTTAGAATCGTATGTGATACCGCGTTTTCCAGATTTGCTCGGATTAGAGGTATTAGGTGGAGTTGGGCTCGATCCGCCACCACTCTGGAATAGAGTCAGGCGATTTGGACCACCGCACATCTCTGCATTATTACCCTTGCAGGCCATATTGCAACCATCTGCGGCAGGTCCATTTCCATTGATGATTGAGTTGCCACACCCTGTTTATAGATGGATTAGCAAATGTGGGGAAGTGCGAAGAAGGGTTTGGGAGGGGTAGGGTCGGTAAGGAACTCACAGCATTCTCCTCCATACTCAGTACCAGCGTATGAGAAACCAGCTGTTGAACAAGAGGCTTGACAACCTTCATTTGTCATTTCTCCAGATACTGATACGGAGGTGGTTAGACCACGACCAGAAACATTGTCAGTGTAGCAGCCGATAGATGTCCAGCTCTGTCTCTTCTCAATATTGGTTTGGACATCTTGAGACTTGATTGTCATGCAAGTTGCTGTGAGAGCAGATGTAACAACGAAGATTGCTTGAAAGAAAAGCATATTGAAGACTGAACTTGACAGTATATTGTCAGTATTGTTTGGAGATTCAAGGTCAAAGGTTGAAGGCCGAAAGCTCAAGTCTTCTGTCTTTATAAAGAGACCAGCGACTGAGAAGAAGATTCCTTAATCTCCACAACTTTCCCCAGATTCCACCTTATTTTAAGCTAAAATGGTTTCTTGAAATTGTCACAATGTCATACGAGCACAAATTTAATCGGAGCGAACATTCCATGTTGGAGTGAATCAGGAACCACGGCACTTTCTTCCTAGTTTCTAGGCAATACGTACCGTCGAATCAGATTATTCGGAATAGAAATTGCCTTTTGGCATATTCAAATTTGTGGGTAAGAAAGAAGAAATGACATATTTGTGTGATGAAGTTCCAATCTTAAGGGTCTAGGTGGTCAGACGAACATATTGGAAGCTCATTTGTGGTGCCAAACATAGGTTGCATCTTAAAGTAGGTGCAACCAAAGACCACGCCGTAGTAAACAAGACAACAAGTAATGGCGCAGACGGGCTTTCGTCGGTTTCATATATAAATTAATGTCATCTATGAGTAAATACTCAGGTAAATGAACAGCCTGAATGAAACGCCGATTCAATATCTCACCAACATTAAATGCATATATATTAAATGGTATGATTGGCTGTTTGTTTATTCTGATATTCTCAAACTCGTACAACTGGAGGCTATAAAGACTTTTACTCCACAAACCAAAGAAGCGGATAAGCTTCTGAAGCCACATGGCATATAATATATATTTATCCAACCTGCACCCCGCATTCCAGTAAGATGGGCTCGCATGGTCATCTGGTATTACTTTGACATCCTGGCACCGATGTAAGGCCGGAAAGTCGCCGTGTCTCGGTACCAACCGTGTTAATCACGAATTGCAATTACTGCATGAAGAATTGAGGCATTAGATAATATGAGCAGTATGAATGACTTGGCAGCTAAGCAAATAAGTCCATATGATTCAAGAGCCCACTAGCATATACTTTGCAGTGTTTCTTGTTCATTTCTAGGTATTTGTGCAATGTGTTGAAAATGATTTGTACGACAATGAAGGGGAAGCCGAAATGAACCACTGAAACATGTGTCCCTAGTTATTAGCCACCGCGTGTAGACAGATTTATGAGCTGATAGGACCTCAAATCAATAACGAAGGCGACTTCATTATCACCGGTCCAGGAAACTCTTTCCTTCTAATAGAATGATCCCGTATTCAAATAATGGACATAAAGCAGGCCGAGAGTGCTGCTAGGATTCAACCGTAACGGATTGGAGAAAAGGGAACAATTTTGGCCTTGGGAGTCAAATACATTAGACTATACTCGAGTTGAGGAAGCGATATTTAATGTTAGAAATGACATAGGGTTGTTACTGAATATTCTAAAGTAATGACTCGATACCAAAGTGGACTCGAGGAGTGCCTTGAAAGTTCCAAGAGAATCAAAGCCATGACAGCCATGATAGCTCTGGTGGATCTGGCAGTCTTGGTACTCGGTAGTGCCTGACGCAATTGTAGTGATCAGAGAAGCATAAAGGCCTATTATAATCATCTTTGAATCAAGGATGTAGTTTCCCAACACAGTGGTGAATAAGACCGAGGGCATTCCGCAAAGAAAGTATGAATATGGCCAGACTCGAAAACATGTTTATTGCAGTAGATTGGAAATGAGCAAGGAAGACTTTGCGCAAGATGACAGTAATGCTAAAAGTACGGTAGGCTTTAACAAGTGATTGAATATGAATTTGAGTATCTCGAATTTCCAATGGACTGAACTGCAGTCTGGCAATCAAAAGCTTTGATTTTTGGATTCAATCGGATGATTCAATTGGGTTGAGATATTGAATCTCATTTTGAATATCGTATCGCTTTTGATAACTGGAAGCTTGGCCCAATTTACCAGTCCGAATGATTGGAAACCATAGGAATATCAGTAGATGTCCGCTGATTTCACGATGGCGACAATGGGGCAAAAAGATCAGAACCACTTGCTCTAACTTCCATCCAAAAACAGAGTCAACTTTCTATTGAATACCAACATTGTGATTCCAGAAAACTCCGTGCTCTCATGGATCAGCCTTGAAGGAAGACAGAGGAGTATCAGAAAGCCTGTACGCCAGGATTCTTGATACAGGATCAGGCGACAGAATAAACCAGAAGAAATGGAATGATTGCAGCTTATTATAATCGCGGCCTGCTTGGAACTGTGAAGGATGATGAGCGTAACTTTGTTGACGCGGGGCTTGAAGTGTTGGATGAAGAGTTGTTGGGTGCGAACTTAACAGAGGTGTCCCGCTGATTTAGTAAATGTTGGCCAAATTGAGCTAAAGCATCATGTGACAAGAGTCGAGCGTCCATAAGCACACACCTTAATAAATATTATCACTATCATTGTTACTATCATTATCACTATCTAAGTATCTACTTTTGCATCTATTGGTCTTTGAAAAGCATCGAAAATGAATCACAGACATCAATTTCCAGCTTGAAACATGAAACATTTACCCCTATTACTTCATCGGCTGGAAAAGAATCTTGTGCTTACGAGGTAGGGAATATAATCTATATTCTCGGCCTCTTGGGCACCGACTTCTCAGGGGTTTTGACATCCCCGCTTACTGTAAGACGGTACACTATACTCTAAATGATGGATACTTCAGGGTATATCGGGCTCTATCGTTAGTGCTCCACAGGTCCACAGACCTGTATCTCCACTTTGAACTGATTTCGGGGCCTCGGTTGTTACGGATGCTGTGAGAAGAATCGGTATGCGATGAGGTGAGATGTCGCACGCGCGCTTGGGAATTTAGCTGCCTCTGGATCTTGTTGTTTTGGTTTTCCATGATGCTTGATCGATGAAATTATGGATGATAAGCTGTGGGGAGGGCTTGGAAAAGGAGGCGAGTTAGACTGCTTACGTGTGAACAAATGCGAGGTTCGTGGATACTCGTTTGAATACTTTGGGAATCATTATATATGGTTCAGAGAGAAGCCTGTACTTATACACAAAGAGCATCCGCAATTTTACTACTATTCTCGTCACCCTATTCCACATCATTTCATTGTGTAAGAGATACATATTCTGAACTCTATATCGGACAGTCATACAGTTATAGGAAACATGGGAAGCGAAAAGATATTACAAGTATTTGAGATTTGGGTTGCTTATGGCGAGACGGGAGTCATTCAAGAAGGCGTTCTCATTGTTCCATATCCGTCCTCATCCTCGTCCATACCCATGCCTACATGCACGTCAGAATACCCGCTACCCTCCTCGAACCAATTTCCGATCCCATATCTATTCCACACAACACACAATCCCTCGTCCTCCATCCCATCCGCATCCGCATCCGGGTCTTCACTACCTACCTCCATTGGTGGTAGATCTAGTTGGCAAGGTAACATTCTTGCCTCTTCCCTACCTCTCTACCTCCAAATATGTGCTTCAATAACTTCACGACATCGTAGTGCTGAAGAAATAGAATTATTGAGAAAGCCAGCTGAGTGGACGAAGATGTTATTCTTGGATTTGGCTCGAGAGGGCATTTGGATGGAAAGCATCCTCACAGAGAGTAGAGATAGAGACTTGGGTAGAGAGAGGGAGAGGAGGAGGGAGAGGCAGCAAGAAAGAGATTCTAGAAGGAGAAGGAGAAGAAGTGAGATAGAGCGCCCGGGGGCATGCGATTCTATGATGTTGGGAAGGTTAAGAAGAAGATTGGGGTGTGAGGTAAGGACACACGAGAGAGGAGAAAGACAAAAATACAGGTGTGGATATGTGAATAGGAATCCTGCCAGCGGATGTAGACCCAGAAGACGAAGACAAGTTCTACGCCCTCGGAGAGCCAGAGATGATCGAGGAGAAAATGAAATTCTAAATCCAAAGGTTTGTGCTTCCTTGTGAAGACATCGAACTTATTGATGGCGACTGTCGCTAATTCTATTTGCCGCAATAGATGATTCGGAAGTTGTGGAGCGGTATTTCCCAGTCCTGTGCGAAGCCTTGAGTGTTGTTAGAAAGGTTCAGAACGCTTGAGTATTTCAATGTACATAATATATCAAGATGAAGAAGAAATCTCTTGCTGTTGTCTCGAGCCATGGATACATGTAAATGTTTATCAGAGCAAAAAAAAAAAATAGGTTGACACTGTATGCAATGCTATAAACTGAAAACTAGAATATAAAGTGTTTGCTATCGACTTCCTACAAAATAGCCCCAATAACAGACTCGAATATCAACCCAAACACATCTCCAATGGCATTAGCTGTCACCGTTTCAGCAATCATGCCTGCATACTTCAACTTCTTGTTTTCAGGCTTTTCACTTGGCCCATCGTCTTGTCTGTACCCTCTAGGTAAGCGAGAATGTCTTGCTGATCGGGGTTCATGAAATTCCTCCTCTTCCCCAGAGTAGTCCAGATCATCGTCAGAAGATTCTGAATCTCTGGATACATATCGCTGCCGCGCGTAATACTTATGATGTGGTTCCATGTTAGAAGTCTGAGAATTTCGATAACTTTTCTGATCTGGTACAGCACTTCTTTGTGACTTGTATGCCATGTTGTTCCAATCAACGGATTCAAAAGCATACGATGACGGATGTTCATTCCGTGATTTCGAGTAAGGGATATGACTGACGCACTCAATAGGGAGCTTTTCAGGCCTGTCGAAAAGAATGTGCGCAATATTTGCACGACTCATATAGTCCTCCCATGTTTCAATCCAGTCAGCAGCGCTATTCAATGGTACACCAAGTTTCTTCGCTATTGGTTCCACGCTCCGACAAATCGCGTCAAATGGTACTATATCGTCTCCGAAAACTTTACCTTTATAGATCATATTTCCACCTAGTGAACATTGTAGTGATTGCTTGTAGGAAGTGTGCCATCTTGAAAGGTCCCGAGATGTATGATAAACACAAAGATGATAATCATTTTCCACTGACTTGCCGCCCTCATAAATCAAAATCACCCCAGCTTGTGAAATTCCGGTATCTGCAAGTATAGAATGAAAAGCCCATACATCATATATGACTGTCACTTGGGACGATGTCATTGGCTAGATGCTTTATGAACAGTATTGAACAGTTGTAAGTGATAAAAAACCTGAAATAAAATATAAAACCTTGACCCGAGAAAATCCAAGAGACGAAATCTTTCAACATATGATTGAGATTTAAAAGAATGAGGGAAATGTTTGTTTGTGTGAATGTTGGTGGTTTGTTGTATGGTTCGAGGCTGAGTACCTAGGGCACATCCTCTGACCTTTGATTTTAATTCTCCTGAGGCAGAGTAGGGCACGTCCTCCGACCTCCGACCTTTGACTTTAATTCTCGCATTACAACACTTACAAAATCAACAAAACTTACGACTGGTTGAATAAGAGAATCAAATGGGGTCAACCAAAAGCCCTCTGGTGGTCGAAAAACTGCTTCAAAATGTTGGTGAACCTGTCCAACCCTGCGTCAAATGAATGCTTCAGTATCTAAAGAGCCAAGAGCCACTCCAGTACTGCTGGCTATCATTGATTGCTTGTTTCATTGTTGTTGAGCGAATGAGTCTGGTATTCATTTTGGTTATCTTCAAGGGCAAGGGTTTGCTCTACCGACTTTCTCTTTGTCAGAATGAGGAGGTAGATGATGTTAACCTTGAAATCTTAAACGGAAGGTGGTGCAAAGTAACTCAAGCTGACAAAACAGCCACCAACCTTCCCCAGCATTTTACTTTGACTCCTCCTCATTGATCCTTTCCGAGAGATCTGAACTTTTTTTCTCTCTTTCTGAAGTTTGCTTTCCAAAGGAGAAGTTTGATTCTATCAGAATGATTTGCTCATGATTAGAAGACACGATTCTATCTTCGTCACTCCAGTGGAAGTATACGAGAGTTCCATATACCTAAAATAGTATTGAACGATCAAAAGTTCAATAATACGGGAGAGACTTGGCTTCTCGTCGATGTTCTTTATCCCAAGATGGTCTAGCTACCATAACTCGCTCAATCACAGTGGAATAGCATTGAGAGGAGGAGCTAGTAAGGCTCTAATATGGCGATTTTCCAATGTACACCAGAGCCATGGTTGATCAGAGACATAGCATCAATAGAGACTGTTGTGCTCCCACCCAGAAATTTGGAAAGGACCAGGTCGGAAATAATATGCGAAATGCAGAGTTTTTGATAAACTTCGCATTGGAAGGATACCTTTATCACCAATTGTCTGTTGTTGGAAATCAGCAATAATTCACTTCAAACATTTGATAATGCCCATCTCTCCAAGTTGACATACATATTTCTTTTATATCTATTTCTTCTAGGTCCTTATTTTTCATTCATATTCTGTTGCTACTAGCTTGAGTTCTTCGCCGTGTACACATGTCAGCCCAGAAGTTTGACAGCATATGACCAGCACCGCGACCCACATTTGTCCTTCCATCTTATCAAGGGCGCTCAAATATTTCCAAGATATCCGACCGAAAGCTACTATTATCCAATGTGTATTAGCTTTTGTATGCTTGCTAGGAGATACATGGTCTCAACCATGTTAGGCAACCAGGTCTGATATCTTTCGCCTGCTAAAATCTGTTTCTCTACACTGCTCCCATGATTCCTTTCGTACAATTCAACAAGATATTCGTATGGACTACACTGCGAAAGTTCTCTAAGGTTGGCTTTCAAATTCTTCCCAACACCGTGAAAGCTTGCCGAGGTTATCAATTAGTCAAATCGTCGAAGTGAAAGTTTTTGGGATGATCTTACTTGGTCATCTAAGTTCCTCCATTGATAGTATCCACTATCCAGTTGAAAGAGTAACTTCTGCGTGCAGAGTGTTATTTGATGGGGTTGTGTAGAACCAGAGGAACCATCTGAATGTTTTGGTAATCGAAATGTAGTTGAACGATTGAAATCCTTGACTGAAAGGTTATTCATCTCATGATGAATGTATCCCTCCTACCACTTTTTCAATCACCAATAGCGCCTCGTTCTATCAAACATCAATATCAAGGCAAGTAAATTTTCTTGATGGCGAAGGTTCACAACATACTCTAGCAACTTAGCGGTGACCTCAGCTTAGCCTCGCATGTATGTATAAGCCTGCCCGAGTTCGATCGCAGGATACTATCACAAAGCAAAACCTACATACAGTTGAGAACTACAATTCAGCGAGCTATACGCTATTGTTTCTCCTCCATTGAGAAATTGTCGGTTTACTGTCCTCGTTATCATAGGTTTTCATTGTTGTGATGGAGTTTCTGGTACTAAAAAGTGAATATCATGTTTGTGTTTTTTTATGGCGGTCTGTTTATGATTTTACCGTTCTCAAATTCACTGTTGGTTTTCTCAACAGAAAATCATGTGTGGACAATAGAAATTGGACAAGTTCTCTATGAGTCAGCTAAGCGGTAAGATTGGACAATAAAGTCAGAGTTTCATAGCGAGATTTTACCCAGATCTTCTGAGAAGTTATTAAATTCCTCACTTCGATTCTAGTTTTGTTCTTTTCTGCTGTCAATTCTTCTTATTCAAGCAACGCAGAACGGACATCACTACTCTACTACCTACACAGAGTAGAGTCTCAGCAAGGATCTCATCTTTTCCTTTACCATAACCGATTCTTCGATCTTCCAAACCCAATTCTCAATCTATCAACAGCAACTCTCTTCACAATGGATTTCTATTCCATCCCCTTCATTCGTGGTGCTTCTCCCTACGTCTCTCCATACTCTAGTAGCTCCAACAGCTCCAACAGCTCCAACAGCTCCAACAGCTCCTCGACTAGCGATTCGCTTAGTCTCCTCAATGGACCAAAGAGACCCGTCAAACATCCCAATCAGTTCCCCACCGACGAGAGTCTGCAGTGGTCATCAGAATCATCAACATTATTCCACTTTGTATGAGCAAGTATCTCTTGTCACTTTCAATTCATCCAATTACTAACCATACAACTCACAGAGCTTCGCATCCATGCCGCTTGGTGTTCCAGACATAACTCTAACCACCCCCTACGATTTCTACTACCCCGCTCAACCCCCCACTCAACCTTCCGACTTCCTCGACCCCAATCTATTTACCTCTCCCCCCGCACACACCTACTCCGCGCTCATCCTCCCCCAACTCCGCACTCTTATCCGAGGACATCGAGTCTACTGCGGATACACATTTGATGCAACATCTCCCCCACCTCCACTTCCTCCTCGGCCTCCTCTCGCCCCTCCCCGACTTCGGCCTCATTGACCACAAACTCCCCGCGTTCCGAGCACATGTCGCAACCCACTTCTCCACCGCTCGCACCCAGGAAGAAGACCATTACCACCCTCTGCTTGCCATCCAGCCCGAGCCGGAATTAAGAATGGTCTTCAGAATCTTTGATGCGCGCTACAATTATAAGTTTCCCCGTCGCGCAGCCTGTCTTATCTACCCTGATGATTGTAAGCATCAGCCTACTGGAGAAATGGCCAGTGAGGGGGGTGTGGATGGGGATAGCGGGGATTCTGCGCTGGTTTACAGACAGGGATGGGGTATGCAGCCAAAGTATATTGTCACTGCTTCTTATGCAGGGGATGTGGGAGTACAATATCCAGTGTATCATTTTTGAGCTTGGTGTTTGTGGATTCTGAGATTGGGACTGGAGTGGTACGTCGTTTACTGGATATCTTCAGGAGATTTGTACCAATGGACCGAGGAATGGAGGTTGCTGATTGCAGGTGTACATTAAAGAACTTGTACCAATAGACCGAGGGAATGGAGGTTGCTAAATGCAGATGAGATGAGCTGTACATTAAAGAACTTGATACTCGATACCTACCTGATAATCACCACTCACTAATTACCAATACCAAGCAAGATATTTCCCATCCATTCTCCCTACAGGTCTATAAAATATAAAGATTTTTTAGTCTCGAACGTGGTGTGCAGCATCCCCTCAGAGATTCAAGGAACCCGCACACCATTTCAATTTTCAATTCCCACCTTCTCGCCCGGAAACCCCCCATCTACTAAGCTCAAAACCTCTCTCATAATCCCTGACTAGTTAAGAAATAGTAGTAAAAGTATTCATCTACACATCTAATAATATCCATCTCCCATCTCCCATCTCCCATCTCCCATCTCCCATCTCCTTATCACCTCCCTGATCACCTTTCTTAACAATTCTTCAAATCCCCCCCCCGAAATAAACCTTCGCTCTCACCCAATAAAGTGTCGAATAACAATCTACCTAAACAATCATTCCCAATGAATTTAATCCTACACCCATCATCATCAATCCAAGTCATCATATGTCGAACTGAAGCAGACCCGGCTACGCCCCCCTCATTCCTCCTTCCCCTCAGTGCGGGGAACTCTGTCTGTCTCATCATCCCTCTCAAACATCACCCCTTACTTCCTCAACTCCTTCAAGCTAGCTGCTAGCAAGCGATCATCATATATCTAGTGCCTATCACTCACCTCTCTTAAAACTCCCCTTTGCATCATACATCAAATTCACCAGATATGCATTTATTTCAAAATTTTAAAAACCTGATGTACTTAAATAGTGGGCGGAATGTTCTTTTTCTCTTCTCTCTACTCTATGTAACAAATCTAGTCTCCTATTGTACATCTTTTCTTATCTCCTCACGCCGAGAGGATGTAACAATCCAGCCACCTGGCGCAGTCAAAGCTGGTCAGACGCAGCGTTTTATTACCATTCATCCAAATCACATAGGATATCGTTTCATCTTATCCACGCATGCCTAAGATGATGACGTTTCTCTAAAATGACAGAATATCAACTCATCTATCTAGATATCTTATTTCACCAAACTCCCGCTTCTAAAAAGGAATAAGCAAACAAAGTCTATCCATCCATCTAACCCATTACCATCTCCGTTTCTTCAAATCTCTGTATTAAAGTTGATTCGTCGATGAAGATGAATTATCTAGGCAGTAGGCTTGAACTTCATAGGGGCTTGTTCAGTAGTCTCTGCAAAAGGAACACCGAGTTCAAAGAGCTTAGTGATGACATTTGCGAAGTCCTTCATGAAGAGAGATTCATCATTTGCGTATTTCTCAACGTATGAGCGGAAAGATTTATCGGAGACGAGGGCCATGTCGGTGGGAAGCATCATGAGGGACTTGGTGGTCTTGTCTTCGTACTATTTTGAGATTATGTGTTAGTTTATTTCTATTTTGGCGTCCATAAAAGGAAAGGGACGGGGTTAATCATACCTGCTTAGGACCATTCCACTTTTTCCAGTTCCACTTCTCATTCAACAAGAGCTTGTAGTAGTCGTTGGTCACAACTGTTGGAGAGAAAGTCCAAGGTCCCTCAAAACCACTACGATCAGTGTGGCAACGTCCAAGAGCGTGAGCACCACTCAAAGCAACAATTTCTTGATCATTGAATCCCATACGACCGAAGATAGCTCTCAAGTGCTTGTTACCTTGGGTTGCATCTGGGAGACGTCCATCAGGTGTGCAAGCAGCAGCATCCTTATCTTGTCTACCTGGTCGGAAAGGAATGACTGGACCCTGCATTTCTTGAATGGCGCAGATACCAGCCAAGATCCAGAGATCGGAGTAGGAGATCCATGGATGCTTAGCTGTGAAGATGTTAGTAAGAAGTCACTTGCTCCAAGGTTGATAAGAACAAGCCCCGAAATCCCATAGCTCCCAGCGCTCGAGTCTACAAAAACCATTATGGAAAGCCTTCTCTAACTTCTCCAAGCTGGTCTCCATTTCCCCGGCCCACTCATCCGCACCGGAGGCGTAACCATATCTTCATTTACAAAAAGTGAAATAGTCGACTTACCCTTAATAGGAGCCAAGAAATCTCTAGCAGCAACCAAACCAGCATTGGCACCGTGATCACCTTCTGGGGCAAATCTCATAGTAGCACCATTGCTACCACCAGTACCAGTTTCCTTGTCAAAGGTTCCGCTGCAATGCCACGCCAATCTGACCAAGACGGGTCCGTAAGAACCATCATCGTAATCATCCTTCTCTTCCAATCTCTCTGCAATTTCATTGTAAACCTTTTGGTAATCGTCGAATGTAGGTGTGAAGAGACCAGCGGTTTCCTTGGCAGAACCACTCAAGAGTGATCCATTACCTTGAGAGATGAAGTAATAACCAGCACCTCCAGCAACGGCCAAAGCAGCAACACCGATAGAGAGAGGGAAGGAAGACTTGGCAGGTCCTTCAGATGCATATCCACGACGAGATTGTTGACGGAATGCTTGACGAGGAGCACTCAATGCAGTACGAGTGGCGGATCTGAAAGGTGTTGATTTGAATGCAGCGCCTGCGCGAGCAAAGGTTCGAGTAGCGGAAGCCATTTTGATAAATGGGTTGTATTATGATGTATGTGATTGGTGATATTCTGTTGAAGTAAAAAGTCGAAAAGTAAGTAAGTGTTCTCTTTTCCCACGGTATCTTTTTTATATGAAGAAAAGCTAACGAGTTAAAAGATTTCGAGGGCAAATAAGGTAGAGTGAAGAGTAGAGAGTAGAGGTTGGAGAGTAGAGAGTAGAGAGAATATAAAACTTACAGAAGACAAAAGAAGTAAGATAAAGACAGAAGTGAATGAATCTTTCTCACACACTACTGGTATCACTATTATTGATGATATTCCCAAGATTGAAAAGGTGAAGGTGGTAAGATTTCAACCTTTAGTAGTACGGAAGTGAAACCTAAGTGACCGGTAGCCTCCGCTTTACTTTACTTTACTTCACTGCACTCCTCACTTCACTCCTCACAGACCTCCTCGTCTTCACAGTTCAAATCCACCCGCTACGATCCACCAGCATTCCCTAAAGCCTTCTGCATCGAGTTTCCATATCGAGTTAGTCTTTCCATCGGAGGCCCCTCTGCACTTTCCATTTTCCATCTCTAGCTTCACTTCTCCCAGGGAAATAGCCAGTGAGAGTGTGAGAATATGAGAATAATAAGTGCAGATATTTCCCAAATAGAAGTGATAACGAAGCAAACCTCGACCCACTTGATTCTCCAATCTTATCAATCAATATTTCACATTGACCAATCACAGTCCACGTATTCACAAGATTATTAGAAGAATATTTGACATGACTCTTCTGGATTGTTCGGTTTGACAAATTGGCTGAGATTTGACTTTACAACATTTTTGGAGGGGTCAATTCAATTTATCCACCACTTGTTGAGAAATGAGTACAGTACCTAGTCATGTTGCAATCTTGAGAGAGATACGAGTAGACCATTTTCCAATTCTTTTATCTTGCCCAGCTGGAGTACTGCATCGATTGTCTATATTATATGATAAGGCTGAACGCCACCGAAGAGGCTGAAATCTCGAATACATCCATACTGGTAATTTGGAAAAGAGAAAACGGTTCCTGGTGTTCAACATACTATAATTGGTCAGCTAGTTTTCATGAAATATGATTGGTTGTGACCCCTGAAGGAGATCTTAGCTCCGAGTGCGGAACGCGACATGTGAGATGCGGAGTTCGTTCCGACTCGAAATCCGGATTATGTGAGCAGAATTCTTTCAACGTTTCTAGAATCATACAACACCGGTAATATTTGGTGATCAATATATGGTGGATTGGTGTATGACTAAACTGTCTTTAGAAATCTACAGAGTATTAAGTGGCCTGGTCTGGAACGAAGGGTTCAGGTAAGCAGAATGGCAGAATGGCTTGTTCAACCATATCTACCGGGGGTAAGTGTTGATGTTTGGATTCATGGTCGCGTCATATACAGGTTGGAAGACGATATAGATAGACATCATATAGGAATACTTTTATGGAAATACCTTGTAGCCTTTTGTCATGTTACCCAATGGGTATTTGGAAAGTTGTGAAGATAGCTTCTTAATAAGCTTGATATGTTTGTAAGCTAGCCTGGCCATTAGATGGTGTCTTATGGAGCCTACCGAGCCTACTCATACCTTCTGGAGGACTAGTAGTCGGGAGTCGGGAGCGGGGGACAGGGCGGGGTCTATTTTGGAACCGTTTTTCTCCATATTTCCTGGTATGGCGTATGCTCTCGAACCTGGGATTTGATAATATAATATATCGTATTCAAGAATTATTCATGGAGGTTTCAGGATTGGAGATGGAGTAAGCAAATACATTCAACCCAAGGTAAATTTTGTATGCACTCAATCCAGACAACCAGTTCTTTTTACAAGGTAACAATCTATATATTCACGATATGGGAAACTAATGGCGAAGAATAAAACGCATCTCTCGTATGTAAGTTCGGTGTTATGTAAATGGCGTAATTATAGAGACGCTCAGCACCCAATGCATAGCTAACATCAGTATCAGGTCATTTCTATACATCATCATTAAAGGGTATATCTCTGCAAAAGCGAGCTGTGAAACTTGTAGGGTTAGTCTAGAGCATATAGTATTTTGAAGTTTTAACAGAGGAATTAGATGAGCCGCAGTGAGCGAGGGCAGTCCTGAAATGTTGAATACCAGTATTGGATGCGATTTGATGAATGTATGAGTTTTTAGTATTCTGTATCAAATGGAAATGGGATATCTAGCTGTTGAGGATAAGCATGTGATCGGACTTCTACAATGAGGCTTTCTCATAAATTGCGAAGTGGAAGTCGCCTGCGTTCAAAACGATGAAACCATGGGGTAAGGAAGACTACAAACACAGATCGCAATCGATTGTGAAAATGAAGTCTTTGATATGAGGGCATTGAAACAACAGATAGTAAGAATAAATAGGGAAAGCCCTTGAAGATTTGACCTTTGCAGCTGGGGTTCTTGAGAGGATTTCGTGCCCCAAAGAGGGGTCTATTTCACATTCTGTAACCACTATAAGTGGTAGACCAACCACTCAAATTCGACCATCAAATCGGGACTAAATTTAGGGGAACAGTCTCTTGAAACATCGTTGCTCCACAAGTTGGGCTGTGTAACACATGTCTTCCTTCTAGAAGCCATCATCGTTCAAGCAGCATGACCGGCTATGGGGGCTTGCTCTCATGATGCCAGTAGAATCGATAAACCACAACAATCAAAACTAAAGATCCGCTAGCTTTCCGGGGCCACTGCCATGGAAGTACGATCGAAATTCAGGAGCAGGTTCTACACGCTAGTAGCATATGTTGCGTCTCCCCGTGCAACCAAATCACTTGCCAATCCATTTATCGGAATTTTGAATGAGTACTGACTATCCAGCAGGGGTTGGAAAATAACCTCAAAGCGAAGATTCGAAATTGCTAACGAATCAAGAAAAACATGTTAGTACCATCGTTGCCCGTAAAATTTCGAGAAATGATAGCAAGGCTCTGCTGAATACAAAACAAACCATTGTTGCTGTGTGGCATTATACTATTTTCAAATTCTGAGTGGGGCTCAGGAACTCAATTGAGAATCGACCATGCTGGTAGCATGTTTCTTTTTCCAGGACAATTTGAATACGGTTCAAGAATTGTAGGACACAAAGAGACTTCAGACCCCAAGAATGATAAATGAGGTTGTCTCTCCAAACCCGCTGTCTCCACACAAAACGCCAAGATTTCATACTCGCTTATCCACACTAGCGTCACACGTGATCACACTTCCGATTTTTCAAATTTCACCACCACATCAAAATTTCTCCCTCGCGCTCACAACGAAACATCGACAACACGACAATCCCAACGCCAACATCTACAATGGCCGCCGAAAAGCAAGCTCGTACCGGCCTCGCCGTCGGTCTCAACAAAGGACACGTATGTTCATGAAATCTCCCATTTCGGGGAACAAAAAACCCGCCCGTCTCACCTCTTGGAGGATCTTCTTTGCGAAAATTTTAGAAGATGGACCGGCTGATTTATGTTGTGATATATAGAAACCGAGGCTCGTGTCTCCAAGCCCAAGGTTAGCAGAACCAAGGGTCACTTGAGCAAGCGCACTGCGTTTGTCAGAGATATCGTCAAGGAGGTTTCTGGGTATGTTTCTTCCACTTTTCTCTCGAGAGTAAACAATCAACTAATCATCTTCCCAATAGTCTTGCACCATACGAGCGCAGAGTCATCGAATTGCTCCGTAACAGCAAGGACAAGCGTGCCCGTAAGCTCGCAAAGAAGAGGGTATGTTTTCCACTGCTCCCACATCACCAACATCACATCACCACGCAAGACAAATACTAACTTACCAACAGCTCGGTACTTTCGGACGTGCTAAGGCCAAGGTCGACGAGCTCCAAGGTGTCATTGCCGAGTCCCGCAGAGCCGGTCACTAAATTCCCAACCTCATATTCTCTCACCACGAAGAAATCACATCTCATCTCTTCAATACCATGGATTGATAAATGGGTTTATGATGGATCTCCACATTTACACAAGTCAAGTATATGGGAATTGGAGCTGTAACAATGAAGAATTTTACGAGTTACTATGATTCTGGGAATTGAGATCTGAAGCTGCTAGTAACCATAGCATTGATGAAGATTTCAGGGCAAAAATAAAATACCTTCCAAAATTGTTTTTATGGTCCTTGATATTTAGCTGGCATGTGAATTCTTCTATTGACTTTTCATGTCTTGCACTCTGATCTAATGAGAAAACGAGGAACAAAAACGCCTATCGCTATGATTCCCTTTCCTACCAGCCTAATCAAGTGAAATACAAAGTCTCAAGATCGAAGAAGTCCAACCACGCGCCCTATGAATACTGTCATAAATCATCATCACCTAGTGCACAACTCACTCTTTAAGCATCAACTGGCGGAATCTAAATAGACGCTGCTAAAGTCAACATGGACAATCCATCCATCCACCATTCTCGGACACCCCGTCCACTTCCTCCCTCCATCTACCTCTTCTTCAGATTCTTCATAATAAGATTATGCAATCCCTTCTTCTTCTTCTCCCCACCCCCATCATCCTTCTTCACCTCTTCTGGCTTTCTCTCCTCTTCTTTCTCCTCCACACTCTCCACAACGGGTACTGGCTGCTCTGTAGCTTTCTCCCTATAGACATCCTTCAACACCGGTTTTCCCTTTAATCCCTCAATATTCGCCGAATCTTCCCACGCTAAATTAACCACCGTTGGACCCTGAATTCCTAAATGTTTGATCAAGAATTTACTCTCTTCATTAGGTATTGTTTCTCTTCCTTTGTTGCCCTGATAGATCAATTTGAACGGTTCATTCTCATGCACGATTAATCCGCGGACATATTCATAAAGCCATTTTCCGTGAGACTCATTAGTGATGGATTTACTAACAGCCATTTGATCTGGGAATCGAATACGAAGAGGGATTTCTTTGATTTTGGATAGGCGATCTTGACGGGAAGTTTCAAGCGCAAGTTCTTCATCATAGGAGAGAAGTTTCGTGTTTTGAGAACTATTTTGAAGACGAGATAGCACGGATTTGGCGTGGTGGATGGTGGGAATGTAATCGGCGTCGTTATGGGGGGCGAGGGCTGCGCGGGGAGTGGAGTTGTTGGGGGCGGAGAAGACAACTAATGGAAGGCCATCGGGGCCAAGAATTTGAGGTGAAGTTGAAGGGTCGGTCGAGGAGGATGAAGGTGGGTTGGGAAGTGTAGTGTTTGTGGTTGCGCCGGCGGGTGTGGGTGTTGAATAGGGAGTTGTATCTGAAAGATCAGAATCCTCCATAATCGTATCTTCATTTCGTGGTTCTGATTCAGAAGAAGGAAGATGAGTAATAGAATCCGTTACAGCTTCAGTCTTCTGCGGCGTTTCGGCAGAGACTTCCGGTTCTTGCTCTTCCTCCTTGAAATACTCTCCAATATCCTTCATAGCCTCCTCAATGGGTTGATCCGTCTGTCGAAATGTAAGTCTCAGCAATCCCGTCCCCTTATTCAATCCCAAATTCGCAAGCGTCTTTTGTAAGTCTCCAAATGTAGCCATTTCTCTCCCCATCACATTCAGCACCGGCATCTCATACACCATGCGACCAGCTCCTGAAGCGCCATTTTGTAGTTGCGCTACTCCTCTTCCCGTGAAATTTAAATTCGCACCCCCGTTGCTCGACTCGAATTTGCGGAGCACAAGCCACAATGTTGTATTACTAGGAAAGGTATCTTTCAATCTCCCGCCCGGAGCCGCAGATGCGAGATCTTGTGGTAATTGGAGCGCAATGGAAACTGGAGCGGGTGATCTGGAAGCTTCGACCAAGGTGAGCTTTGCGCCGGGGGTGAGACCAGTTTGACGGTATGTTTGGGATAAATCGATGGGCTTGTCGTTACTTTTCTTGAGATCGTAGTTGGTGTTTTTCTTTCCAAGTTTCTTGCAGGCTTCGGAGACAACTTCACTCATGTAAGTTCCGGGAGTGACTTTTATGGTTGCTCTGTTGAAGCCCTTATCGATGACTACCACGTTGGAAGCCATACCTAGGAATTGGTAGTTAACGCAGTGGATGTTATAAATTATAGAATGATTCGACTATGAGATTTTGGGAGTGATCGATATCGACTTGAAGTAAATAGAAATATTCCAGGTCGAAGTTGTTATGTTGTATTCGTAGGGTCCTTCTATAAAGTTCTGTGATATTTGTAAGGGTGTTGGAGGTTTGTGGCGGGGTGTTAACAAGCTCGTAGTCAATGAACCTTGTAGATGTAGAGTACGGCGGAAGTCAAACCAAGTAAGTTAATCTATAATGAATAATAAGGAAACAAGTCCAAGAATATAATTTGCTTCAAATGTACTCCTTCAAGTAGAAAGTATTGGAAAAGAAAATTCAATTCAAAATCCCTTCCTTTTATATAGGTGTAAAATGATTCCATAACTCGTAGGTAGCTGATGGTACCTGTCGTATCTCATAATCGTTGCCTTGTTGGCCCAAGCGTCAGCTTGAGAGCTCAACATCGACGCGCCAGCCGTGTCTACCTTGTCCATATCTCTCTTACAACCTCGATATTACAACCCCAGACCACTTCAACTTGAAATCACCAAACCCTTTATCTGCGAATCTCTCTAGAAAAAAGAGTACAATTGCCGTTCTCTGATTTACCCAGTTCTTGATACCCTGAATTCGTACCCTTCATTCACAATGGTAAGCTTGCTCTAACTACATAAAACCATACATATCTTAAACATGTTATCTACGCTATGAATAACCAGCTAACACCTACATCTAGAGCTCTCCATTCTCCATCAGTACGCTGCCCTCTCTATCCTACCATACCCCAACCCCAAACCACAAATGCTAACCATTCCCCTCAGATGGCGGTGCCTGCGTAGCCATGGTAGGCAAAGACTGTGTCGCCATAGCCTGCGATCTCCGTCTCGGTCTCCAAGCCCTAACCGTCTCCAACAACTTTCCCAAAATTTTCTCCTACGGCCCCTCCGTCTATCTCGGTCTTACCGGTCTCGCCACAGATGTGTCCACCGTCTCAGATCTCTTCCGCTACAAAGTAAACATGTATCGACTCCGCGAAGAGCGCAATATTTCTCCCACCACCATGGCGAATCTCGTCTCGAGTTCGCTGTATGAACGTCGCTTTGGTCCGTTTTTCGTTAGTCCTGTGGTTGCGGGATTGGATCAGAAGACTGGAAAGCCATTCATTTGTGGTTTTGATAGTATTGGTTGTATTGATTTCGCAAAGGATTTCATTGTTAGTGGAACTGCAAGTGATCAATTGTTTGGTACTTGTGAAGGATTGTGGGAACCAGATTTGGTGAGTTTAATTCTCTGGATCTTTTTTCCCTCTTGACATATTTGCGGGATCAACTTCTGGGACGGTCATATGGTAAAAACCTCTTTGTGGGAATAGGAAGCTGTTTTATCACATATACCATATAAAATGCTAACAGCTCAATTCTCAAATTCAGGGACCAGAAGATCTCTTCGAGACAATATCACAAGCACTCTTGAACGCAGTTGACAGAGATGCCTTGTCAGGTTGGGGAGCCCATGTTTACATTATTGAGAAGGATAAGGTTACCAAGAGGTTATTGAAGGGCAGACAAGATTAAATGGTGTGAATTATAACGAAGCCGTAATTGTGATGGAGGACGCAGTTGTAATCTTGAAGGCATGCGAACTCGTATCCCTGACAGAAAACGATGCTTACGACGGTATGAAGACAATGCTCAGGGATTCTCGCAGGAAGCAGTGAAAGATGCCTTCTTGTGTGCAGATAGCAAGCACGCAAGATAGGAAAGATTTGTAGTATTAGATCTATCTAGCGAACAGCCAAGGCATCAAGGGTTTGATAGATACAAAACGAGCATAAATGACACATCTACGTAGACGTTTGCATTTCAATTTCACTACTGCCTCTTCAGGAATGAACTTTGCAAACATGTAGATATTTTTCTTAAGATATTCAAGTAGCGAATCGGGTGGTAAATCATGCGTATGTAATTTTATATTCTTGATTCAAGTTCAATACCCCTTCCTTTGTGTGAGTGGTATCGTACGTGTATGTTAATCTAATATTTACCAAAATCTAATAGTTTACACCTCCACCATTTTCTGTTCAGCTACTTCAAGTAGCCGTTTTGATTCCCATCCAATTGCGCATTCTCCAAGCCAATCCATAGAGACCCGTCTATTCTTTCTTTGGTTTTTCTTGAATTGCTGATTTTTGCATGAAAAATTGTCTTTCTAAGAATTTAAGACCTTCATCAATGATACTAGTAATCAAAAACGTTAGCAAGGAAGATCCTACATGTATAAAATCAGATGTCATAAGATGGAAAGATAGAAAAAACTTACATAACAGGAGCACTAATAATAAGAACCGCCTGCCACTCGTTCCAGTTCAATGGGAGAATTGAAAAGAGAGTTTGCAAGATAGGTGTGTAGAGGAGTGCAAAGTGTAAAGCCATGGACAAGGCAATCGCGTAAACCAACATCATGTTCTCCCAAAGAGGAAGGGTGAGAAGAGATTCACTAGAAGAGAGAGCATTGACGGCGTTGAACATTTCGATGACGACAAGGATCGAGAGGGAGACCGTGGATGCAGATTTAGCCATGTCGTTTGAGAACATTTGGCAGCCAATGTCCGAGAATTGAGCCGAACATTTGTGGAAGTGAGATAATTGCCAGAAAGTAATTTGTGGTCCTTCAGAGTTGTACATGAACCACCATGCATAACCAGCTACAGTAGCAAGACCGACATAGACACCAATGACCATGTAACGGAAGAAGAGCCAGCCACCGATCAATGCTTCATCACGCTTTCTTGGTTGTCTCTTCATGATATCATGATCAGGAGGGTTGAATGATAAAGCTGTAGCTGGGAGACCATCGGTAACAAGGTTAACCCACAAAAGTTGAACAGGAATTAAAGCTTCTGGCATACCCACTGCTGCTGTCAAGAAGATAGAAACAACCTCGCCAATGTTAGAGGAGATAAGATAACGGATGAATTGTTGAGTGTTGTTATAGATAGATCGACCTTCTTCAATGGCAACCTCAATCGTAGCAAAGTTATTATCGGCAAGAACCATATCGGAAGCAAGTTTAGAGACATCAGTACCAGAACCCATAGCAACACCAATATCGGCTTTCTTGAGAGCAGGTGCATCATTGACACCATCACCAGTCATAGCTACCACTTCACCAGCTGATTGTAGAAGATCTACGAGCTTGGATTTGTGACTTGGTTCAACACGAGAAAATAATGAGGCGGTCTTAGCAGCAACCAATTGTTCGCTTTCGCTAAGATTATCAAATTCTCGGCCAGTGTAACTTTTGCCCTTAAGATCTTCGAATTCTCCGAAAACACCAATTTGTTTGCAGATTGCTTCGGCAGTGTTGCGGTTATCACCAGTAATGACAATGACTCGAATTCCGGCTTCCTTACATTTTCGGACGGATCCTGCTACCTCTGGGCGAGGGGGATCAAGCATACCGACGAGACCAAGGAGAGTCAATTTTTGCTCAAGTTGGGTGTATTCAGTAGTAGTAGTTGCCGACTTCAATAATGGATTGGATCCAACATCTTCCACGCTAGCGAGTGCGATAACACGTAGACCTCTATTACCATATTCGACGACTTCTTTCAACAAAAGCTTCTCAAGTGTCTCTGTAAGTGGGACTCTCTTGCCATTGGATCCAACCAAAGTGTGAGTGCAACGATTGATCACATTTTCCGGGGCTCCTTTGACAAGCAATTTTTGTTGCTGGCCGTTTCCGACAAGAACAGACATGCTCTTTCTATCGCGAGAGAATTCATAAGTAGCGAGATGAGGAGTTCTCTTTTCATACCAAGAGCTTGCGTGGTGAAGAGAGTCACTTGCCGCAATGCTGGCTCTTGCTTGATTGTGAGCTCCATCCAGGGTGCCAATTTTCTCTACCAAAACACGTAGAGCGCCTTCAGTAGGCTCTCCAACGTTTGAATAAGTGTTAGACTTGGAATCAAATGCAAGTACGGATTCGTTACAAAGAGCTGCTACTTCGGCCATTTGAAAGATCGTATTCGATTTTGTGGCTACATCTGTTACCACAGTGCCATTTGAAAGAATGTTACCGTTGGGAGAGAAGGTAGTTCCTTCAACCTCCAACTCCTCAAGATCAGAACCTGCTTCATTGATATAGACGACCTTGTTGACACTCATTTGGTTTGTAGTCAAAGTACCAGTTTTGTCCGAACAGATCACGCTGCAGCTACCTAGAGTTTCTACTGAAGGCAAACTTCTAACAACGGCATTCTTTGCGGCCATTTTACGGGTACCAAGGGCCAAACAGGTTGTGATGACAACAGCGAGACCTTCTGGAATAGCTGCAACACCGAGAGATACCGCAATCTTCAAGTAGTAAATCGCACCCTTGGCAAAACTTCCATGAGAAGGATCACTGAAATGAGGAATATTGATGAGCCAGACCACAATACAGATAACTGAGATAACTTTTGCCAAAGTGTCTCCAAAATCGTTGAGTTTTTGCTTGAGTGGAGTTGGCTCCGAAATTTGTGCCGTAATACTTTCGTGGATATCACCAATAGCTGTAGAAGATCCAGTAAGAACGACAATTGCAGTTGCATGCCCAGTGACAACAGTGGTTCCAGAGAAAAGCATGTTTACTTGGTCCTGCTTAACGGCCTTCAAATCCTTGACAGCCGTGGTACTTTTTCCAACACTCTCACTCTCTCCTGTAAGAATGGCTTGATCGACTGAGAAACTGTTGCTCTGAATTGCGAGGACTCTGCAGTCTGCAGGAATTCTGTCTCCTACTGCGATTGTGATGATATCTCCAGGAACCAACTCTTCCGCACGAACTCGAGTGACATGTCCATTTCGAATGACTTTGGCTTCATTTGCCGAGTATTCTTGAAGGGCCGCAATTGCTTTCTCTGCGCTACTTTCTTGCGATACACCGACGACGGCATTAAGAATTAAAATGGTGAGAATCTATGTTGATACATTAGCACGGCGAAAAAGCCAATCCTGGCGGGGGAGTCAAAACATACCACTGCGGGGTCGACAAAAGCAGTCCATCCTCCTTCATCTTCGAAAAGAGCTAAAACGAAGGAAATGGCCGCGGAACCGAGTAAAATAATAACTAGTTGATCTTTGAATTGTTCGAGGATAAGTTCCCAAATGGGAGTTGGAGGCTCATCTGCGATAGCTGTTTTATGATTAGCTAAAGCTGCAATTCAACCGGCGCAAATGATGCAGAAGAGAGGAATATTGCGTGCTTACCATTACGACCATACTTCTCCCTTGATGCAGTGATTTGAGCATCTGTGAGACCTTGAGATTCGGATACCGAGAAATGATCCAAGACCTCAGAGGTCGATTGGGAATATGCACTGTCCATGACTTTATGTTATGTTGAAGACAACGTGGGGCAATCTGTAGAGAGAGGAAGGATTGTAGCGATAATAGCCACTTCGTTCAAATTGATTGTCTCATCTAAATAGGAAGAATTATGGACAGATCTCCCTTTTTTGAAAAATCAAAAGATGTACGGTACGATGAACAAGAAAGAGAATTCTATGTAGGTAGGAAGATATTCTATTCAAACGAAATGATTCCAAGGTTCCAAGGTTAATCTGGAAGTTCCAAAAAGAGATGCAATTATTTAATAATATCTGGGTAGTATCTCTCTTGAACAAGTGTCCTTTCTAGGAACCTATCTTGATCATAAATCATGAATCATACGTTGATTTGATTGGTTGAAATTCCAGGCTTTTTTCAATTCCCTTATTATTAATTAGTAAAAGAAGTCGCCTTCATTGAAACGGGGTATGACATTGCCGATCCGGATGCGCATGTTCAGAGTGACTGTGATTGTGACTGACTTGAGTGAAGCTTGATTGTTGATACTGCTTGGTCTGTGCGTTGATCTTTGGAAACCAGTAGAAGCAATGGTAGAAGTAATTGAGTAATCTGGTAATGAAGGAGTGAAGGTTTGCTTCTTGGAGATAACTGCCTCGATCCTTGATAGGTACAGATTGGAATTGATATTGATTGTGAATAGTATCAAATCAGTAATCTTCTACATCTCCTTTTCAAATTGTCTGCCCCCACGGCAGTGGCCCTCGGAGAGCCAGCGGAGCGTCATTTCATTCATTGAAATGGGATGAATTGTTATTTATCACCACCTTTAGGAGGTGCATGGTAGCGATAGATGAAAGGCATGATACTTACAGGTTTCAATCTCACTGTCCTTGGAATTATAAAGCTTTTGTTTCACAGATACATCGGCACCGTATCTTCATCTGAAAAAAATAACCCGCCAGCCACCTGGGTAATTTTTCTGCCGTTTGTCTGTCAAAAGCAGGTTCAGCGCACTGTATCTGAATATTGATTCTCCGAAGAAACGATTGTATTCACCGATGGAACTGAGTCCAGGAGTAGCAAAGCATCAATCAATCTTATGATTGATGTACTCCGTCCATCTCAACATCATTTTTGATCAAGAGATATTCACAAGGATGAGCCTTCGTGTTGGAACGAAGAAGGAACAGAGGGGCGAAGCGAGTTGTACCGAAAGTGCCCAGGAAGCGATATAACTCGACAACCTAGATCCAACGGCATCTCTTGATTCTCTTCACATGAAGCTTGATTTATGAACATGCAGCCTCGTTTCTTTTAGGATCCTCCTATTAACTAGGTTCTATGGAAAATTTACATTTCAATCCGTCCCAACTCCATCAACGACCGGTCTCCGATTGGTTATAATTTGTAGTAATCCTTGCCTACCACGAGGTAGGTAGACATGATTGTTCGTCACTCATTGTTCTCTGATGGGTCGGAAAAACATAGCGGTGCTGGGCCACTGCTGGCATCTCTTAACTCCCTTCTTCGTCGCATGATAAAAATGCCGCCAGCTGTACAGTATTAGAGTTCTAAGCACACTTTTCCCCACTGTTCTGAGAACTCATTTGTTACCATATATAGTTTCAGGAAAGCACGATACTAGGTATATACTTCCCATACTCCTGAAGCCCTCGGATCTCATAAGCGTTGGGATGGATCACTTGAGCTGACCGAAGGCAGGTTGGTATTTCGTCTTTCGTCTTTCGTCTGAAATTTAGGATTGATCGCATAGAATTAAGCAAACAGGGGCTTTGTCGATCTCGATCAAATAGAAGGCGAATAACTTATAATGTGATCTTGAACCAATATGTAGGAAATAGACTTGAGACACGAATCCTTGATAGCTCCCCATTATCAGATTACCGGAAGTTCTGCCTTCAATCCCTAGATTTTCTAGATTGCAACTAAACCCTGGAATTGATGGTGACCCTTTTCAACTAATGAGACAAATTATTGGTAAAGTGTTCTGTATTTGACAACGACTAATCCTTTCTGACTTTATACCTACCAGGTAGACAAGAACAATACTTCGCCGTGCGGATACTCCGAACATTTCTTTGAGGTTGTTGTTGATTTCCAGTTGTCACAAGGGAAATAATCCACATCTGCGTGGGGCAGACATCCCATACCAACACCCTTTAATGGATCAAGGGACTCATGACTGTATTCATAGTTGAGGCCAGACCAAGCTTTATGTTTCTGAAGAATCTCTACGATTACTCCTTAGAATCCCTCGAATCTCCTGATGTTCGATCTGCCTTTGAATGTGTGGTAGGTAGGATATGATCCTTCCGTTGCTTGTCAAGGAGTGTAATTTAAGAGGGTTGCCATACAACAAAAGTTGACTCATTGATTCATCATTGTACATCAGCCAGCCCGATATCAAGTTTCCATGATCTTCTTTTGATAGGATGTAGGTGTAGGTATAGGTGTAGGTACGATAGAAGAGAAGATAGGTAAGGTGAGGCCATATATGTATTGGGTAGAAAAGATACCGACCACGACTACCTACCTGGGTAATATCTACCTAGTATTGAACCCCTCATTTAATGAAGACCAATGAAATATTGATTACTTACCTAGTTGTTGGCTCACAAATGTCGTATCTTCGTGCTGGTGAATTGAGACTTTACTTTTCAAATTGGTTGTTGACATTATGCCATACGCAGTATGAGAGAGGGATATCACCATGTCATTCATCATCTTTCATTCTAGAAGCATTCTAAAGACTTCCTTTCTTTGGCTCCTGTCCCAGAGGATCCGGTGTAAATCATTCACTTGTGAAGATCTTTTATTTGATACATCCACACTGTGGTCCCTCCCCCAGGCAGTTGAGGGATGGATTGCTTTGTGTCATTTCAATTTGATAGAATTCCCGTGAACTTTGGCATTGTACTTCGTACTCAATTTATCATGATATCACAATAATCCAAGAGTCCAATAATTGGATGCATTCACTCGATTGAGAATTAGATTACATGTAATTTCATTTCTTTTTAATCATTTTCCAATGGATTTACGGTTACGGTATCTTACCATGAAAAAAAAAGCATTCATTCACATCTATTCCAAGTACCTGCTTCCTACCAACAACAATCAATCATATAATATTGACCGCTCGGTTATTGAATCAATCAGAATTAGCGTCAGTTTCTCCATTATTACCTTCACACCAGATCCATGGATTGGATCTTCCTCGCACTTAATACCCAACTCTTGCACTTGCAAACTTCCCATCTTTCTCTAATAAACCACCAAGAAACCCAACCACAAAACCTTCTTTCCATCTAACCACTTCGACTCTCCCTCTACCTAATACTATTTACAACAAAACAATACCCTTCCAACATCAGCAAATATGACTACTGAAGTAAGTTCAAATCCCTTTGCTTGCTACCGTGAATCTCTTTCTCGACTTCACTTTTCCCTTGAATTCGTTCCCCCTCCATCGTTTGTCAATATTCCCGAATCTTACCCCCTCCTCCCCCCCCAACTGCCATCCAACAGCATATTTACATTGTTGTCCTGTTTATTTACTCTTCTTCGAACTTTATGCTAATGCTATGATAATTACAGCGTGAAAGGTATGATTCGATTTGTTTCCATGCGGCTCCCAAAAACCTCCTTTACTTGACGTACGTGGTACTAACGACGACCTTACAGCAAGACTTTCCTTGCTAGGCTCTGCGAGCAAGCTGAACGTTACGATGAGATGGTTACATACATGAAGGAGGTGGCCAAGGTATGCGACTCCCAAATTCATTTGTTTTTCGTTGCAGATTGCGGCGCGATATACAAATACTGATGACGCGTGATGCAGTTGGGCGGGGAACTCACCGTTGACGAACGTAACCTCTTATCTGTCGCCTACAAGAACGTTGTCGGCACCAGACGTGCTTCCTGGCGCATCATCTCCTCGATCGAACAGAAAGAGGAGTCCAAGGGTACCGATAAGCACGTTTCCACCATCCGTGATTACCGTCAAAAGATCGAGACCGAATTGGAGAAGGTTTGCCAAGATGTCCTCGACGTCTTGGATGAGTCCTTGATCCCAAAAGCTGAGTCTGGAGAGTCCAAGGTCTTCTACCACAAGATGTAAGTCTTATCGCTTCACATTTCTTTGCGCCGGATTCCACGGCTTCCTGAGTTTTGGGCTAATGATTGGTACAGGAAGGGAGACTACCACCGTTATTTGGCTGAGTTTGCCTCTGGTGATAAGCGCAAGGTTGCTGCTACTGCTGCTCACGAGGCTTACAAGGTATACATTATCCCAAGTCTATTCATTGAATGACATGATCTAATCATATTAAATAGAACGCCACCGATGTCGCACAAACAGAGTTGACCCCAACCCACCCAATCCGTCTCGGTTTGGCTCTTAACTTCTCTGTATTCTACTACGAGATCTTGAACTCCCCAGATCGTGCATGCCATCTTGCCAAGCAAGCTTTCGATGATGCTATCGCCGAGCTTGATTCGCTTTCCGAGGAGTCTTACCGCGACAGCACTCTTATCATGCAACTTCTCAGAGATAACTTAACCCTCTGGACTTCATCCGACAACGGTGACCCTGAGGCTGCCGCTGCCGGTGATGCACCAAAGGAGGCTGAGAAGGCAGTCGAGCCAGAGACCAAGGCAGATGAGCCAGCTACCGAGGCCGCCCCTGCACCTGAATCTTAGATCTCTTAACTGTTTCGGAATCTCTTCGTCTTCGTTCTTTGATGTTGTTCATCTTCTGGAGTGGCTGGAATATACCTGGCTTGCTGGTGGAGTGATTGCAGCATGATGGCTAGGGCATAGGAGTTGATATGAAAAGCAGAATTAGGTGCATATTTGCAAATACTTGCGATTTGTCAAAGGCACCAAGATTTTGTGAATCCTGATGATGAATGTTTTTCTTTTCTGATTGCGATGTTTCCTTGCGGTATTCTCAAGTCAGTTGCTTGTCTTTTAACAAATGGTTACCCTTTTCTCCTCAATTCTCACGAGATAAGGATTCTTGAAGTTTGATCGCACAAGTATCTGCTCAACAGAATGCATATTTTCCTCTCAGAACACACAGTGCCTCTATGGCAGGACAATAGATCGCCCATTCTCGTGATCTCTTTTACAAGTTTTTACACATTGGGGGCTTGCGTACTCTGTGGTTGGCGTGCTTTTTCTGGTCTAGATATCCCTCGGATTTCTTACATCTCAATGTTGTCATAGCGGATAGCCTAAAGTACTCACCTAACACTATTTTGTTGTTGTCTCCAAACCAAATGCAATCGCATGATAGGAACTGTTTTTTTTATTCCTTCTTGAATGAATCGTGTACATAAGGATTTTCGTGAACGTCAATGGTGATTGTGAGTTGTGATTTATAGTTGTATTGAGTTTTTGTGTTTTTACTTGACAGTAATAGTAAGTACCTAGGTAGTATACGACGAGGCTGTATGTTCTTATGCATTTTTATGAAATTCCGCTTCGAATCATTTCCTGTTCCATTGCTCAAATGGACTATGGTGAGAGGCCTGAGAAATCATTCTGATATTAACTTGTCTATTATGCTTTCTCCTTAAAGAGAGATAGGTTTGCCCGTGGGCTTGGAGGGAATACAGTGACGGTCTGTGGGAGGATTTGGTAGTCGAGGAAAGATGAATGAGTAAAGATGAAGGGGGTGACGGTTTTGAGGGAGAAGAAAGTGGAGGTGGTGGATGGGCAGAGTATAAAGCTATGGAAGAGAGTTTGGAGAAAGAAGGGGGAGGAAATCTAGAGAAATTAGAAACCTCTCTATTCTACCTACCTATTGATTCTCGTTTGTACGGCTTTGACTGAGGGATTCATTGGTGGCATCGAAAGCAAAGATCAATTCAGCCTGTCTCTCATGAACATGTCACTCAAGTACCAGATCTAAAGTGTTACCCTTACATGAATCATAACAACGCATACTAGAACTTCAAGACCGGTCCTAGAACCCAATGAAACTTTAAAGTGTGAATGAAACAAATGAAACAATCTTGTCTTGAATGAGATGGGAAGTAGGGCGGAAAATCATCCAGATTTTGTTTCCTGACGGTTATGTATCACGGGAAATGTAAATAATGGCTCTTCTACTTACAATATGGCATATTTATTGAATTCAATTAGTTTTCTTCACCATTAGATATTGAAATGATGGTTTTCTTAATTATCCAATCAATATGGAAAAAGGGGTTGTAGTCTTTGGTTTGACTTAGGTGGTCAGTATAAAAATGCCTCGTATTGAAGGCCAAAATGATAGCACACCACGTGATTATCTTCCACCGGCGTGGATCTCAAGGCAGATTTGACGCGCACAAGAAGTTGGAAGGCGCGGATGAATTCGTAACGCTTTCATTTCACTTATTTCAAATAATGCGGAATTCGTTTTCTTGCTTTCTTTCTGCTTCACGATAACCATCTTATTTTAAAAAAGAAATCTACATTCTTTCACGATTTCAAATTTCATAGACCGAAAGAGTACACCTACAGAGGATTGGAACCTTACTTAAGCTTGAGATAACATCAATATGGCGACAACCACCGAAGCTAGAGAACTGGAACTCGTGGGGAAAGTGGAAATGCGAATTGCGCTGGCGAAAGATGATAAACTTGAAGCGATATTGAAACCGTATTTGCCACCGTTGCTTCTCAAACTCGCGAGTGAACATCAGAATGTTAGGAATAAGGTATGTGGTTTATTTGAAGTTGTTTCTGTTGAATTTGGTCAGGGAATTGAGTTTTGGAGGGGCGGAAAAGAATGGGGAGGGGAGACTGTTGATATTGCTGTGGTTTTTGATTTCTTTGGGGAAGCCTCTGGTCGGGGAGAATGGTGGGGAGGGCGGGTGGTGGATAGAGGAAAGCTTCTCTCTCAATAGTCTTATTACTTTTGATATTATATCTTCAAATATCCTACCTCCGCCGTAGTAGCCCCCGGAGGGCCAGCGAAGCGTCATATAATTTATTGCTAAAGAAATTGCCTGCTAATTTGGTTGTCATAGGTCATTTCAACATGTCAACATATCAAAATTCGCCTTGCTGGTAACAAGTTAGGAATTCACGCTCGATATTCTTGAAAATTTACTGATTAGTTTTGCAGGGACATTGTATTACCCGTGGCAGCTCTTTTGAAGCAATTTAAAGAACATCCAGAATCATCAATGTTACGACATTTTGATCTCATGTTTATTCAACAAAGCGTGGGCAAGCTCTCTTCCAAGGTAAGTGATGATTTATGAAATTTCGGCGGATCGTTTGATCTAATTTGTCTTCAGGACCAAATGGATTTAATTCCAACATTAATACATGGGTTGGCTCAAGATGCTGAGAAGCCAACTTGTGCTACTATTTTTAATCTGTTTCTTCGTCTCTTACCGCAACTCAAAGTACCTTCTCGTGGAAGTAAAGAAGATACAGAATTGAGGCACCAACTTGGTCTTGATGAACACCAAGAAGATTCAAAATTTATAGCATCATGGTTTGGAAAGCTTGTACTACTATCTATTGTACGAGCAGCGCCATCTGGAGTGACTTGCCCAGGACTTACCGTCAAAGAATACGAATTCTTAACACTCAACGGGAAACAAGAAACATGGGATCCAACCTCAAACGAAGGGTTGAATCTCACCCAAACAAAAATCACAGTCCTAAATTTTCTCGCTTCTGGTGCTTTTACAGATGAGGAGAGATTCTTGCCTGCATTGTTCGCGTCTGCTGACACCAACTCTCGTATTTCGAGCATTGGTGATGACCTAGTAAAGCGTTCAAGTGTTTCATTGGAAGATGCTGAAATTGTACGCAATTTGCTAGACATCTATTTTAGTCTCAAACCCGCGTTAAAGACGAGGGTGCTTGTACTCTTAACGAAGTCCGCAATTTCAACTACCTTTCCTACTGATATCGTCAAAATTGTGCAAGATGGAGTTCAACCTGATGATAACACAAATCTCCCTGCACCAGGTTTAGAAACTATTAAATTTCGAAATGCATTGTTCAATTACATGAATTGGGTATCTCGCATGGGATCCATTCATGATCTCAGTCAAGTTGCACCACAGCTTGTTGGATTCTTAAGAACTTATATCGAAGATCAAGGATGGCCGATACCTCATGAGAGATCTTCCGACGCAGCTTCTTTACGAGCTTTGGCTTATGAAACCCTTGGTTCACTTGCGAAGACTACACCATCTATTGTTGTTGAAGAGGATCTTTCTTTGATTCGTTGGCTTTTTCGATCACTCACAGAAGAAGGTTCATCTGATGATATCTTTGTGAGCATAGAAGGAGCATTGGCGAGTTTATTGAGTGCGTTCAAAGCACCCTTATCTTCAAATCTTCGAGATGAACTTAGATTGTTGCTCCTCAAATATATGACACTCAAGGAAGAGGGCGAAATCGTCAGAAGTGCTCGTTTTGCAACTGTTCGTTGGGCAAATCGATGCTTAGAGTATAGTGACATTGTAGCTCGTTGGATTGATATCCTTGCATTAAGTGCACGCACAGATGAGCGTAGTGATGTTATAGAAGAAGGAGCAAAAGGTTTGGTAAGTTTATCCATATTGACATTCCAATAGTCTGAATTGTAGCTTGATGAAGAAAAGTCCTTGAATCTGTAAACTATTTCAAATAGGTCCAGATTATAGAATCGTCCTTGGAGTCTTAAAGCTTTTCGAACATTACAAGTTTTCTTTGAGCTACAATCTAGGCTATCGAAAACTACTCGCTTGGAACTCAGACTGATTTTATCCAGGATCCATATTGGTATCGACTTCTTAATTCAACCAGCGCTTCTGTCGAATGTCCACTCCCTGAATGGAACGAGATGATTAAAGTCTTTTTCGGTACTCAAGCATTAGTCGAGAACTCCAATATTGCCAACGCCATGAAAACTGGGATGGAAGTCGATAGCGTGTCTGTATTTGGAAATTTCTCCGGTCCAAGAATCAATGCTTTTCCAGCAGCTATAAACTACTGTAGGAGAATTTTATTGTTACGTGCTCTGGAAAAGACTGAAACACCACTTGGAATCGACGCAGACTGGGAACGTCAACTAGATGTACTTTTTCGCTCCGACAAAATTTCAAGGAAAGCCATGAAAGACCATATTACGACTGTTGATCAGGAAGCATTATACACCTATCTTTCAGCTGCTTTTGAGGGTATGCTACGCAATGATGGAAATGGATTAGGCGAATGCGGCAAATGTTTCGTAGAAATCGCTTCAGTCACGCCAAAGGATGTTATTGGTCGACTGGCAGAGAGATCTATTGAGCTTCTTCCATGTATTAGATCCAACAACGTTGCAACTAGATTCCTTGCAGCTCAAGCTATTGGTATCCTCGCATCTCATTCAGATAGAGATGAAGTTTCTCTCAAGAAACTCATCGAGACACTGATGACTGACGTACAAATCTGGTCAACGGCTGTGGGTGCTGATGCGAATAAGGTACACGGATCGATTCTTGCACTTGGTTATGTGTTGAGTAGATCATCCTATTATGGACGTGACAGCTTTATTCAAGGAGAAATCGTAGGAGAAGTTCTCGCACAATTCCTGACTATAATCGAAGGTGTAAAAGACGCATCAACGAGAGAAGCTGTGCTGAACGCTATTGGCCAGACGAGTGCATCTGGAGTTCTGACGACAGAAATTGTAGAGAAATCGTCTCTCAAAATCGACG